GAATTATTAGGTCTTAAGGATCAGAACAAGAGATTTAATCTTTGACAAGTCTGATTTAGGAATCGTATTGTATATGGACGCTAATATACACCGTCAAATATGCATTCTCATACAATGAAGCAAAAATAACCGAACGAATATGAAAGAAAATTAACTGAATCACTCTATATCGATCTGTCTAGATTTGTAATTTTTAATCTATTGACTCGACTGAGTTCATATAAGAAGTAAGATGAAGCCAGATAGTGCTCTTGCTTTAGTGTTAATGTAAGAATCTTACAAGAATGAAACCCAGCTCTGATGATGTCCATCATATGATGGACGTAAGCTCAGCACGTTTTCACCCGAAACGAGGGAGGAATACTCGTGGACTGCGTTCACATGAATATAATATAAAAGCTAAACGGCTGCAGTACAACGAGTTTCATCCGTTCTCATCTGGTAAGATCGACAAACAAATCTCTTCTTCATGTACTTTCATTCGAAATGAAGGTCCCCCTAACAACTTATAAGAGGTATGCTAAAGCCGGATAGTTTTCTTAATCGAGTGTTAACGTGAGACTTATACAAGAACGAATTCAAGCTAATCTGGAAGTCTTGTCAGAGCCAAACGGCTGCAGGCAACAGGATTCAGCTGCCGTCTTCTGGTGAGAGCGACCCTCGAATCTCTTCTTCATACATTTTCATTCTAAATCGAAGTCTCTTCTTCAATGTACATATATTGTCACGCATTTGTTATTGTGAATGCGTTCGAAGTGGTCCTTGACATATTGTGCTAATCAGTTTGGCAGGACGGTGTGTCGACGACATCTTCGCACAAACTCACCATCCCATACAAACATTTCTGGTCCTGGTATCGAATTGTACCATTCTACAAAGCCATTCTATGCGTATTTAAAAAAAACAACATGTACAATCACTTCTTTCCATGCGCATTAATACCGTATAGTGGCCTCAACATGATGCGGCCGCCACTTTGGACGATTTATTCAAGATGCTAAGTCTGAACACGATGATTCAGACTAATGCTATAGAAGGCTTTCCGCAGACATGGAGGGGGGCACCTCAGAGGGTTTGTTTGGCTTGAGTCTGTAACTTTTGAGCACTGGTTACAGATGATCCGGCCTCGTGTAGCCCCGCTTTGTCTGTTCAATCCCCCCCTGAGGTCGTTTTGTCCCATTCCAGCCGCAGAGACATCAAGACTCCCCGGCAAGGGGGGTCAAATCGTCCCTTCTGCAGTGCAGGGTCTGCAATGAATTCACGGGAATTGAGGCCTCAACGAAGCTTCGTTGACGATCATGTCTGGCATAGATCAGGTCATGGGACTTGGATATGTGGTCTTGCAAATAATGTGTCCAGCAGTCTCGTACTTTAGCGGAACTCCGAGGGATCCATCTTTCGACATCTCTTCAGGCCGTCAATTAAAGGTTTCTATCGATGCCACTAATATTTTTACAACTTCTACCCTCAACTTAACTTCGCACTAAAGTTGAGAATTGCGTACTCAGCAGTGCTCGGTTACTCATTCGCCTCGAAGGCAAACTCAACTGGTTTATTCAGGACGAGAGAGCAAATGTAGTCAATTACTAAAATTGAGTCAAACTGATCGACATTTGGGCCCCCAAAATGAGGCTTAAAGTAAGAATAAATTAAAGTATCATTCACATTCACGACAAATAGCGCAGTCTAAGTCGACGAATCGCATCGGAGCAGAGTCCCTGTTGCCAGATTCGGAAAGGGTGGAGCAATCCGACCTCAAAAGCCCTTCCGTTGTTTGGTAGTGAGAAGCAAATGTGTTGTCGAGTCGAGCAGAAAAGTCAGTCTTAAAGCAAACATATGCTGACAACACCATCCTTTTTCTTTTGCACAAACTCAGAACTTTTGTACTGTCTAGCGTGTTTACGCATGTGCACATACATGTGTGTGAATGGTTGCAAGGATGTACATGGGCTTATGCATGACCACATTGACTGTGCACGCAAAGGACTGACTGGGAAGTTACGTGCTCGTCCGGTTGGGAGAGGGTTGGAGTCCACATTTGTACTATTTCAGGAAGCCGAGTCTTCGTAGGAGACAAAGAAAGCTGTCAACGCAGGCCATCATTGCGGCTCCGAGCACGGCGACCTGATACGTCGGCAAGTTGGGCAGATCGCCCCGAGGGGTCCAGTAGAAGTAGTAGCAGCCCCGGGAGAAGAAGTAGCCTGACGGGGGTAGGGTGAAAAGATCAAAAAGAAAAAAATTCTCATTTTGGGCGATGGACATTATTCATTCGAATGTCAGCCAAACTTGTGAGATTCTATAAGGATTTGGGTCAGCCTTAGTCGCTTGAGGTGATGTAAAGACCGACATTTTCAGAATACACTTATTCGCTTTAGAGATGACTTGGTGGTAGCAACCAATGAAAACGCATTTGGAGAATTGTTGACAACCCAATTGCACTATCATCCCACCAAATGACCCCCTCAACTGGTGACTTGGGCGCAGAAATGGGGAGGGAGGGCTCAGACCGTCGCCACAGTTTCTCACCTATTCGATGTGATTCCCATTCTCAAGACATTTCCCAAGCCATGTCTGGCCAGCTCGGACCATTGGTAGCTCAGGGAAAGTCTGAAGGTCTTGGCAATTGCAGCAATCCCACAAAATGTCCTACTGAAACCACGGCTTGGGTGCACCATGAAAATGATACCTTCGGGCAATCATAGACTCTGCAAGAGACAAACGCATCGTCAGTTGGTCATGGAGGTGAGGATGAAGGATGCTAGATGACAATGCATCGTT